TCCTGCTGCTGTACAAGAAGGCTGTAGAATGAGGAAGAAATCTCTAGCAAAATACCTTGTTAATACGTAATACATTGGTAAGGTTCAAATATAATTTTCGTGTGGAAGCTTGTGATTTAGGCCCTCTGATTTGCAGGCAGGACAGGTATGGTGCCATGTCAGATTGATTATGTTGTCTGTGCTATAATAAAATAATGCAAGACTGTTGTTTGGCTTGGGTGACTCATAATCTCCAGTAAAATGTTCCATTGTTTTGGTAAAAAAAAATGAAAGGAGGAGAGAAAGTTCAACTGTGGACTGATACTGAAATCATGTCATTAATTATTAGTTTTGATTTGGGTTTTTTTTCACTAGAGTACCACAAAACTGCAGACAAGTCCCTGTTGGTTTAGGACCAGTACCTGATTGGTAAAGAAAATGCAGTGCCTCAGAGAACTAATGATATAGCCATTTAGATCACTAATTCTTAAATTAGGGTATAAAGGGCGTAAAGAAAAATTAGAGTAGGAGTAGCGCCAGGCACATACAGACTGTGTGATTACCCACATGTGACTGTAGGGTTTGCATGGAGCTGGAGCTGACTTCTCTGGAGCCCCAAGGCTGATACACGTTCATCACGTAAATATTGGTCAAGCGTATGCTTTCAAGTTACTGAAGCAATTTTCCTTTAACTGTTACTTACAATGGCTTATTAGTGGGTTATCCCACAGGGTAGCTTATTCTGTTGTTGCTATTACGGCATACATGGGTCTTCCAGAGGACTTGGGGTCAGTAAGAACATGATGTCCACATCTAAGTTTGGGAAAACGCTTTGGTTCTATGGCATTTTGCATTTTCAGTCTGAAAGACGCTCTCTGAGAGGGAGAGCTGCTTGCTATTTCTGTGTTTCTGAAGGAGACAAGCTAAGCTGGGAGTGAGGAACCGAGGAATTCTAAATTCACTGCTGCTGTTGTTTTTTCTTTCCTTGTATTAAAACTTAAAAAGCATAGTTTTGCACCTCTTAAGCTAGCAGCTGTGCTACATGTACTGAATTCTAGTGTCTGTGAAGAACTGTCTCTATATAAAAGGCTGTAACGGAGGAACTAACACTTTTTTGTTGTATTTTTACTTCTGAAGTTATGCACAGCTCCCACTAATCTGGACAGCCATTTGGGGATTTTAATGCTTTACAGTGAGTTTCACAAGTTCAGTTGTTTGGGCTTTTTTCTGACCTTTTACATGTCTACTGTAAGCTTAAAATTACTGTGCTGAGGTTCTCCAGTCCTTAAAGAAATGCATTTATTTGGAGGAAGAAGGAAGGAAAGAGAATGCTTTTCAGATGCAGATGCACCCAGATTTTACAGTGCTTCTTTTAACAGTACTCCAGCAGTTCTTTTGGCTCAGGATCCCATGCTGTAACCAAAAAACCTCCAGTTACTGATTGTCCTTGGCGATTTGAGCTGCTGCTATTTCCCCATATCTCACCGTTAAGCTTATGCTGGGTGTTTAAGCGCGTTCTGTGACTTGCTCATATTGGGGGTTATTCCATTAACAGTTCATGTGCGTAGCTGCAGTGACTGACACTGTCCTCTCTGAGTTCCAGGCTTGGACCACCCCATGATGCTGTTGCTGGGGAATAAAAGAAAATTGGGTTCTGTTGCTGAGCCCACTGGTTAAGAACATTGCTGCAGAGACCTGTATGTGACTGCGTGGTGGGGGGAAAGAATTAAACAAAAGCTGACTAGCTGTTCTACCCTCCTAAGTCGGATTTAAGGATTTAAGCAAATCTGCTGGAATTCCTTGATCTTATTCCTGTTCCTTACATCCTGAATATTATATCAGCTCTGGGTATGATTGCTATTAACTACCTCTCTTTTTAGGCTTCTGCTGAAGATCTCTTGTGGAGGAAGCATTGATATTTTGGCTGGTTTTGCTGAATAGTAGTCCTGCCAGTTCAGGAGAAATAGGTTGAATTCCAGAGAGCTGAGAGCATTTTAGAAGACGGTACTTCTCCTTCAGAAAGGTCAGTACAGAATAATCTGGAAAAATCAAGACAGAAAGACTCTGTAGGGAATCATAGACTTCTTATTATAGAACTGTGCTTATATCAGGGTGAGAAGGTGGTCCCTGTTAAATAGTGGTCTTAGGTGTTTACAACTACTTCAAACTTGCCCACACAAGAAAGTTCAATATACGTTTTACCTTGGTTTTAGATACGTTACCTATCTAAACTGCCATAGTTTTATTGGTATAATTTCCTTTTTGGTCTTCCTCTCCACCTTGGAGAGGGCCATGTAACTATGAGAGCTTTTGAGAATCTGAATCCACCTCTCTGAAGAAAATGTCGTTGCATGTGCCAGAAAACCAGGGCGAGTCTTGGCATGAAGGAAGTCGTTCCAAAAGAGGAGACAACTGCAAAACCCACTGTATGTTTGCACAGTTTGTCATTGCTCCAGAAACTGAATATCAGACTTGGACTTCTGTTGCTTTTAGTACACTGGTCTTGTGTTTCCTTTAAAATCACTTTCTTTTCCTTTAAAATCTAGGAAACCACTTCATCCTAGGAAGCCTTGCCTTGAGAGGGAAGCAAGTGACAAGCTGCTATGAGAGAAATCCAGGACAGGCTTTTGCTAGAGGTTTTAAACCCTGTTTAGTATGTGTCAGAGGCTGAATGCAGCTGTTTCTTTCCAGGTCTAAAGGGCTAAATAGGTGAGCGTCTTACGGGAGTTCTGAAGGGGCATCAACAACCTCTCTACTCCTGACTAAGGAGCAGATTTCTCTAGATGCCAGTAGATTTTCCTGTTCCTGCCTCCAGTATATCCTTTCCTTGTGTTTTCACTGGAGAAAGTGGTTCTAAATTCCAACACGTTCCCATCTTTTAATTTTGTTTTGCTCCTTTTTGCCAGTGCTGCCTGAGAGTTACAGTGTGCTGTAGCATCTAAACTATTTCCATCCTCTGTTGCCCTGATCATCTGCCTCCCTCGCTATGAGGATATAGGAGATTAGCTTATTTACTGAGTGTAATTCTTGGCCAAATCCACCGTGGTACAAATCCACTCCAGAAAGGGCTCCTTCCCACCACTCAGCGACTCCTGTGACAGATCCAGCATGTAGTGGAATTTCCTTCCATTTGGTGAGGGACTGAGGATGAGGCAACACAAAACTGTCATGTGAAGTGAGTAATGGGCAATAAGCGAGCGAAGAAAAAAAAGATGCTTTCTGTTAAGCCAATGGATTTTTAGCAGCTCATTCCTTGTTTTTATGCTGAAGGTGTCTTTGGAAATGCTGCTCAGCAGACTTGGCCAGAAGTGAGCTCATTTCTTAAGGTGACCTTCATGTTTCATGCTGCAAAACACCAGGAGTTAATCCCTCCAAAATCAGAATTTAAATGTAGGAAATGCCCATTAGACTGAGCTGAGGAGCAGCACAGGGAACGTGTGTAAAAAGAAAAAAAAAAAAAAGTTCCAGGATTGAACAGCTTCAAATTGACCAATTCCTTTCTTAGGTTTAATAATGTTTGAAACTTTTTGTTGTACCCTCTAACCGTAATTCATACAAAGGAGCAGCAAGCTGGAAACACTGAAACACCGGGTAGGATTGTTGGTAGCCGTGCGGTGGTGACCAACCCTCGGGACAGCAGCCTGGCTGACTGAGTTAAACAACTTTATGGCCCAAGGTCAAGGAGGCGCTCGACGGAAGGGCTCCCGGAGGCAATACCCACGACGGCCAGGCGCAGGGCTGGGAATCGGGAGCGCGCCCTGGAGCGGGCTGTGCTACCGGTGGGTTTCCCGCGGGGCGACCTGGAAGCTGCTTACGTAAAGGTTTCTGGGTCCCGTTTACCTGGGCTCAAATCCGAGGCGCGTCTGGCC